GGGGGGGGGGGGGGGGGGGGGGGGGGGGGGGGGGGGGGGGGGGGGGGGGGGATACTCCTGTAAACGCATGCCGTGATCGTTAGACCATAGAATTCGCGGCCCTACAATGCCGGGACGGAGCGATATGAAGGGTTTTCGCCGGCCCAGGCAACGTTTCACAAGGATCAACCAAAAGCTGGTCATCATCGGAGGGGGGGGTCGTTTTCAGCAGATATGCGGAGGTGGGATTCGAGGAGAAGTTGGGGACGTGTCGAGAACGACAGAGTTGGTCAGAAATTGCGCGATGTATGTGCCACATGCAGCCTGGTGATTGGGTGGTGGTATGTTGAAGACTCGAAAAGGGAGGATACGAACAAGGAAATCAACAGGGGGCACAGGGAGAGCTAGCTACTATAAGAGAAGATCAACCGCAGCTCTCTACCAGGCTTGTCACCATGGATAGGGAGGCAAGCACATCACGCTACTAGCAAGGTAATGAATTGCCAGAGAAAAATCAGAAACAATCGAGGTCACCCAACAACAGAAAACATTATCCCCCCGTCCCCTGCACGCCTCCACGCATCGGAAACCCAGATCTGGAGACCGGCTGGCCGACCTGGACTCTGCCTTCCGTGCACCGTCAGCATCCCGACAACGGCACGCAGGATGTTGGGCTTGTTGTTGCTGGCACCAAACTCGAGGATCGTCGAAAACGCCTCCACCACGCATGATGACGACGACGGGGACGACGACGGTGATTCCTGAGGGCATGAAATGTTCAATAGTAGCCAACAAGGACGACGGAAGGAAGGCACGACGGCACCCGGGGGTAGTGATGGGGGTAGTCGGGTCAGTTTTAAGCTCATCCTTTCCCTAAATAGTCGTCTGACCGCAGGCCACGCGCCATCCCTTCCGAGACAGGGGGCACCGTCCCTGCATATCTCTTAGGGGGTACCACCGCCAAAACTAGGGTGTCCCCTACATGATAGAACTGTCTGACTTGAGCTTGCGGAGGTGGGGGCCTCGTCTAGTCAAGAAAATTCCCAGGAATGTCAACGAAGACCGCGCGACTACTGCTGCATAGCCTTCGAGACTCAGCACTAAAAGAACCCCCCAGAAGCCGGAACGGGGGCTAGTCGTCCCCTCTCACCCGTGGCCACCGTCCACTTTGTCCCAAGGCACATACGACCTATACGTACCTCCTGGGGGCGTGCTTGGGCGGCGTAACCGGACCCGTACGCGGCTGGGGCGGATGCAGCGGGTGCGGCGGCGGGCGGCGCGAGGCCGGTGAGCTCCGGCATCGCCAGGAGCGAAGGGTGCAGAACCGCCGAGACCAAGTTCCGGACTAGCGGCAGCTGCGGCCGACGGACCTCCTTGAACACGCCCCACACCACCTGGCGGAGGAAACGGGAAACCACGGAAGGGGAACCAGACGACGAAGAACAAAAAGAGGACCAGGTAATTGTTAAAGAAACAAGAGGGCAAAGGGGGTACCGTAGAGTACAAAATACACGTCGGGATCGCACCCGGTCTGATGTTTTTCCTGCCTTTCTTCTTTCTTCCACCGAGGCACGGACGGTGGCGCTTCTGAATCACTACTTCTTTTGTTGTTAAGAAGCGAACAAAGGTCGAAAGGGAACACAATCGACAAAACCCCGGTTATAACACACCTCTTCTCTCTTCTTCCCCCCCCCCCCCCCCCCCCCCCCCCCCCCCCCCCCCCCCCC